AAAAAAAAAAAAAAAAAAAAAAAAAAAAAAAAAATAAAAAATTAGAATAACAAAAAATATTATTAAAAAAAAAAAAATTAGAAACAAATTAGAATTCTCAAAGAAATTTCATAAATCGTCTTAGATAAATCACAATTGTTGCAAAAAATAAAGAAAATATTCTTTATCAAATCATTTAATTGAAATCTGTTAATAACATATAAATGCGACTGAAATCAGTATCATATGAGTATAGTTATGAATTTAAACATTTCACAAATTATAAATAATAAACCTGTTGATAGAACCATTCGATCCAACCTGCACTTGTTGCCACACAATTGACCAGTATTAATGCATCCATCTTTGATTGATTTTGAAGCTAAAATACATCAGGTTAACTTTTTTAGTTACAAACAACAAATAATAAAACTTCTAATAAACTCTCAAGCAGCAATAAGCAATGCCGATTACCTTTATGATAACGAACTTTGAGATATTAATTCAGTTCATGAGATTTTTGAACAAAAATGGAGCAAATACGACTAAAGATATTACTGCTAAAAACAACGGAATCGAAATAGACGGATAATGATTAACAAAATATATACGAGATTATCAAAAGGTCCAAACATATTTCAAATTGAATTTAATTTCAAAATCAATCAGGAAACTAAATAGTGTGAATGTTAGCAGCTATAGAAAGATAAAAGAACATTATTGAGAAATAAAAACATGGAAAAGACATTAAAAATATCCAAAACAAAAATAATAAAACTAACTGCATAGCGTAGCATGACATTAGCACCCACACCCACTCCCAAACCAATAACTTCTCGAATTCTGAAAAGTAATACTTGAAAGGATTGATGCAGCAAAATGCTAAAATATTCGCCATTTTTTATCGAATTCTACAAAAAGAAATTTTGAATTCAATAATAGCAGAATATTAGCAATTAATTACTTGAAATGTTCCACGCAATTATCAACAATCTGAACCAGGCCATCCATTGTCGGATAAACATAGCTGAAAAAAAAAAAATACGATCTTTTTATTTTCAAAATTTGTCAGTGAATTAATGAATTCAATTAATTATTAGCTTGATATTTTACCAATGATATTGCCTATTTAAGAGATGGGTTGCTATAGTCTTTACTGTTTTGACAAGCCATAATACATAAAACAAGTTGAAGAAGTAATTTTTTTTTTTTTTTTACCCAATAGGAATGGATTAAAGGAACATGTAAGATAAGTTCATTCAGATAACTTTTTAATATGGAGATACAAGTGGTGATCATCTAAACAATTATTTTCAAAGATAAAAAGGGTAGAAATGCAAAAAACAGATCAAGCAGGTTAAAACAATACATCTTTTATTCTAGGTGATATAAACAAACTGTTTGATCAGAAAAAAAAAAAGTCTTTTCTAAAGAATAAAGGCATGTTTATACTGAACATTATACCACTAAATGTTTATTATAATATTTGCTTCACGTAAACATTCAATCTCAAATATAAATATCATGATATTTTACTTAAAATAAATCTATGCAAATGATCTCTCCTTTATCATTACATTAGCTGGCCTACTTTACTAAAACATCTAAGAAGAAAATAGGCTCACTTATCCGGTAATGGAGCTGCATCTATTTCTTGACCCGGAGCATTGATGTTGTAGATGC